AGGGAAATTACGGCCATGCATATTTGGGGAATATGTCTTGTTTTTTCCTTTCCTTTTTGTTATGTGTTGGACTATTTTTACGCAGTAAGAACTACTTAGTGGTTACTTAATGGTTACTTAGTGGTTACTTAGTGATTACCTAGTGGTAACTTAGTGGTAATATAGTGGTTACTTAGTGATTACCTAGTTGTTACTTAGTGGTTCCTGAGTGGTTACTTAATGGTTACATAGTGGTTACTTAGTGGTTACCTATTGATTACCTAGTGCTTACGTAGTGGTTACTGAGTGGTTACTTAGTGGTTACCTAGTGGTTACTGAGTGGTTACTTAGTGGTTACTTGGTGGTTACTTAGTGGTTACTGAGTGGTAATTGGGTGGTTACTTAGTGGTTACATAGTGGTTACTTAGTGGTTACCTTGTGGTTACTTAGTGGTTACCTAGTGGTTAATTAGTGGTTACCTAGTGGTTACTTAGTGGTTACTTAGTGATTACGTAGTGGTAACATAGTGGTTACTTAGTGGTTTCTTAGTGATTACCTAGTTGTTACTTAGTGGTTACTGAGTGGTTACTTAGTGGTTACCTATTGATTACCTAGTGCTTACGTAGTGGTTACTGAGTGGTTACTTAGTGGTTACCTAGTGGTTACTTAGTGGTTACTGAGTGGTTACTTAGTGGTTACTTGGTGGTTACTTAGTGGTTACTGAGTGGTAATTGGGTGGTTACTTAGTGGTTACATAGTGGTTACCTAGTGGTTACTTAGTGGTTACTTAGTGTTTACTTAGTGGTTACCTAGTGGTTACTTAGTGGTTACTGAGTGGTTACTTAGTGGTTACTTGGTGGTTACTTAGTGGTTACTGAGTGGTAATTGGGTGGTTACTTAGTGGTTACATAGTGGTTACCTAGTGGTTACTTAGTGGTTACTTAGCGTTTACTTAGTGGTTACCTTGTGGTTACTTAGTGGTTACTTAGTGGTTACCTAGTGGTTACTGAGTGGTTACCTAGTGGTTACTTAGTGGTTACTTAGTGATTACCTAGTAGTAACAGAGTGGTTACTTAGTGGTTACCTAGTGGTTAATTAGTGGTTACCTAGTGGTTACTTAGTGGTTACTGAGTGGTTACTTAATGGTTACTTAGTGGTTACCTAGTGGTTAATTAGTGGTTACCTAGTGGTTACTTAGTGGTTACTTAGTGATTACCTAGTGGTTACTTAGTGGTTACTGAGTGGTTACTTAATGGTTACCTAGTGGTTACCTAGTGGTTACTTAGTGGTTACTTAGTGATTACCTAGTGGTAACATAGTGGTTACTTAGTGGTTACTTAATGGTTACTTAGTGGTTACCTAGTGGTAACTTAGTGGTTACTGAGTGGTTACTTAGTGGTTACTTAGTGGTTACTTTGTGGTTACCTAGTGATAGCTTAGTGGTTACTTAGTGTTTACTTAGTGTTTACTTAGTGGTTACCTAGTGGTTACTTAGTGGTTACCTAGTGGTTACTTAGTGGTTACCTAGTGGTTACCTAGTTGTTACTTAGTTGTTACATAGTGGTTACTTAGTGGTTACTTAGTGGTTACTGAGTGGTTACTTAGTGGTTACTTAGTGGTTACCTAGTGGTTACTTAGTTGTTACTTAGTGGTTATTTAGTGGTTACCTTGTGGTTACTTAGTGATTACCTAGTTGTTACTTAGTGGTTACTGAGTGGTTACCTAGTGGTTACTTAGTGGTTACTTAGTGATTACCTAGTGGTAACATAGTGGTTACTTAGTGGTTACTTTGTGGTTACTTAATGGTTACTTAGTGGTTACCTAGTGGTAACTTAATGGTTACTGAGTGGTTACTTAGTGGTTACTTAGTGTTTACTTAGTGGTTACCTAGTGGTCACTTAGTGGTTACCTAGTGGTTACTTAGTGGGTACCTAGTGGTTACCTAGTTGTTACTTAGTGGTTACATAGTGGTTACCAAGTGGTTACTTAGTGGTTACTGAGTGGTTACTTAGTGGTTACTTAGTGGTTACCTAGTGGTTACTTAGTGGTTACTTAATGGTTATTTAGTGGTTACCTTGTGGTTACTTAGTGATTACCTAGTTGTTACTTAGTGGTTACTGAGTGGTTACTTAGTGGTTACTTAGTGATTACCTAGTCCTTACTTTGTGGTTACTGAGTGGTTACTTAGTGGTTTCTTAGTGGTTACCTAGTGGTTACTGATTGGTTACTTAGTGGTTACCCTGTGGTTACTTAGTGGTTACTTTGTGGTTACTTAGTGGTTAGTTAGTGGTTACCTAGTGGTTACCTAGTGGTTACCTAGTGATTACTTAGTGGTTATCTAGTGGTCACTTAGTGGTTACCTAGTGGTTACCTAGTGGTTATCAAGTAGTTAGTTCTCCATTCGTTTCCCACTAACTAATCTAGCTACACCAGAACATGTGATTTGGAAGTTCTTAGTATCTACCCATTACTTAGTGGTTACTTACTGGTTACTTAGTGGTTACTTACTGGTTACCTAGTGGGTAGTTTCCCACTAACTATGGAAATGTTGTGTACTTTATTGTAAAATGTTACCAAAGAACAAATTATGATTAGTAGGACTTTTTGGGGTTTATAACTGTTTCAGAATTGTTGAACATGAGCTGGGTCAAATTGACCCGAAGACCCCTGGTGTGAGTAAAAAACGAAGACCCTACGATGGTTAATATTTACAGTCTATGGGACAAATGCATACTGTACAGACCAACACCAGACACTTTTTGTTTCTTGTTTGCAACTTTACAAAAAACCAGATCTTGTACAGAAGATTCATAAATATATATAGAAAGTTAAGAAACTATTGTGACTACTGTGTCCAGAGCGGAGCTACAGGTCGACATGAGGATATGTTTTCTGAGACTATTACTTGTTTTACTAATTCACTGTTTCAATCTTTTCATACACATCGAGAGTATTGAGAGAGATGTTTCAGTTTTATCACATTTACATTTACATTTACATTATTCTAATGAACATAAAGCGAAAGATGTTTCTCTACACATGCAAACACATGCAGACAGAAACACACACACACACACACACACACACACACACACACACACACACACACACACACACACACACACACACACACACACACACACACTAAAAGTAGATCACTGCACCTGGACTGGTGGATTTGAATCAACTTCAGGCTTCATGAAGTGGACTGCAGACCATGAAGATCCAAGATAAACAGGAGCCACTGCACGGGTCATAAAATAACAGTAAACTCAGCTTCAGCACTCGAGAACTAAAAGCAGTTTGCTAACACAATGTCTCTAAGTGAGTGTGTACTCATATCAACCCAGCGTCACACAGACCCTAAAAGTCTCTGTGGTGATAAGTATCTGGGGATCAAATGATATTTGGTCCAGCAACACCTCAATCGTTGAATTCAGTGTAAGAGAATTACTGCTGTGAATATGTAAGACACAATGGCATTATTGATCTGTGGGTGCTTCAGCCTATGACCTCTACATCATATTAATGGCTTTATCCCCATCTGAATAATAGATGCAGGAGTGGTGAGAGCATAGAGGACCAAAGGTGATGGGGCTAATGGTCAGACAAGTTATCCTACATCATCCCTTGATAATATACAATCATCATATTACACAGATTCAAATGTGTCCGCTGCTTCTTTTTATTCTTTAGAGTAAGGTTGTAAAACTCTGGTTGCTGCACAAACCTATATCTACCTTATCTTGGTGTGTTTGTTAATGAACTATCAGAACACAGATTAAATTGAAGTCAATAAAACAATCAGGTGAGACTGATTAAACGGTTCTCCATGCAGTGCAGAAGATTTACCCAGATTAATTAAAAGACCCCCCCCAACAAGTTAATTTACCTCTTGTTGTGGAGTCACTGCCACGTGAATCTGCATTTCAGGTTTACTTAACATTTATGCTTGTGTAAAAATTTAGCAATACCATTTCATACCAAGATAGTCAATCTCAAGTCACATCATTTTTGAAGTCACTCCAGAAACATATATTCAAGCTATTTAATATTCAAGCTAATATTAAATCTTAAAGTATCTTCTGCAAAATAAATTCCCAAAATAACGTCATGCATGCCGGACAAGCTTTCTATTTTGACCGTTTATTCTCAAAATAGATAGCTGGCCATGTTATAATATTCTTCACACAATGCAATACCCATGGATATTGAGTGCATCCTCAGACTGTGATTTATATTTGAAGTAAATTCTTAGTAGTCTCCATGTATTTTATTTTTTTTCATCTTTGGTATGTTGTGAGTCTATTTTGAGTCATTTAAATGTTCTGGGGTTGGGCACTTCTAAAGGCTGAGTACAGGACTTTTCTTTATTTGCTTTTATAAACACCTTGTGCTTTTCAATTCTTATGCTAATGCAATTTTCACTTTGTACATCTTTTTGGCATCAAAGTTTCAGTTGCTGCTCTGTGATCATCAAATAGCATATTGGTAGAAAATATATTAACAAGAGCCAAATTTATATAGAATAAGCGAGTAAACCGTCAGATTTACAGGTGCAGCCATGGTGCTTACTGGGCTGCAGCTTCTGTTGCCTTTAACCTATCTGATTTGAAACCATAAAACATAGCATGGACTATTTTATGGGCTCCTGTCGCTTTTCGTGGTGCTGAAAAGCCACCAAAGACAATGCGGCAGGTTTTTTCTTCTTCCCATCTTTTCAATATGCAATGTTGATGTACAACAAGTTATACATCGTGTATAAGAGGTACGTTTATAAATCAGCAAGTTTAAGCTTCAATGCATCTTAACTACGGCAAAAAACAACAACTGACTACACTAAATAAAAAAGGGATATCTGCGTCATTTGTTTTGCATCTGCACCAAAATCAACTCCCGGAGTTTTGTCAAATATTGAAACGGAACTATTTCTAGCTGACTGTTTATTTACATATTTATTTAAGATTAAAGGTACCCCCCCTCCACTGGAGTGAGGGGTGTGGTTAAGTGTTGCTCAGTGCGCATCAGGTAGCCCATGGTCGGACACTATATAACTGTGTGAAGCCAGAGGAGAGCAGTGAGACTACCGGGGTGACTACACAAGACCACATCACGACACAACTGTCAAAAAAAGTAAGTCGTACTACTTTTAATTTCTTTTACTTGAATGCAGCCTGCCTTGATTTATAACTTATCATCTGTACATGATTTTCTCATTAACTTTATATCCAGGAATGTGTTTCCATGTGAGGAGTTAGATAAGAGCGTTTTGTTTATTGGGGTAGCCTAAAAGTGAAATAGAACGGAAAACATGTAGTATTTTAGCTTTAAGAAATGTTTGTTGACTCAAACTTTCATCCTGGTCTGTGTCATTGTCCTTAGATGGCCAACCTACTGAGATCGTGGATGATGCTCGCAGCGCTGGTGCTCTGCCTGCTCGTGTGTCTGAGCAGCTTTGCGGACGCTTATCCTCCCAAACCGGAGAGTCCTGGCAACAACGCGTCTCCGGAGGACTGGGCCAAATACCACGCAGCTGTCAGACACTATGTCAACCTCATCACCAGACAGAGGTAATGCAGGGATATTAAACCTTAGTTCTAATTTGTTTTTTTTTTGTAACCATGCACTGTTAGGTGGGGGTTGTTTCTATAGTAGATGAACAATGATGAAATCGTGAAACAGACTGTGGATCTTCTTAGATTTATTCAGCCATGGTCAGACAACACAGAAACTCAACACACATGGCTGACAAAGTGCAGACCATCGCTGACCCATGCTGACCCAGATCTCACAATCATTGACAATCATTGGTAAAGTGGCAGAATGGCAAAGTCTTCATCTTCACAGTGTTGCTTATATTCTGCTACAAGGTACAGCCCACAAATTCCTGGCTGCTTCGGTTCATCTCTAAAAGGCTAGAAAGAAGATATCACATTGATTCTTAAATATCAGACATATACATTTCTTCAGTCTCAGAGTCACATTTCCTTTTCAGCTCACAACAGACACTTCAAACCAAATATAACTCTGCTGTTATGAGGTCTCTAACACATGTGTATTACAGCTTTACAAACCTAGAAGAAGAATTACTCTGAGATGGTTTACACAATTTAAAAATATATCCACAAAATTATCAAGATGAATGAATTCATGAAAATACGTACTAACAGTTTCCCTGTTTGAGGTGTGTTTTAATACTGTCCACATAACATCAAAATGTTTTAGGAGTGGTTAGAAAATATAGGTAAAGATCACAGGTCACACACTTGCTTACAAGATACCGAAACTTAGCAGAAAAGGTAGAAAACCTTTAATGTTCTATTTGGAAACTCAGATCATGTTCAGTTTCAAAGAATGAAATCTAAAGATATTGTCAGTGGTGAATTTACAGAACATTTGAGTATGTTTAATTAATCAAGACTTAATGTATTTAATGATATCTAAAACATTCTGTAAAATCAAACCAAAATCAAATATTTTATGTCACATCCCACACTTTTTAATTCATCTTATTTTTATGTTTTTTATTCTGTTTTTTATTTTTGCTATTTTTCATAACAATAGATAAAATGTTTTAGCAGATATGTATTTTAGAAAGATAATCAATAGAATTGAAGCAATGACTTCAGGGTGCTCCAAAATAACAAAATCTCTGCTAACTAGAAATGAAAGAAATCTCACCTAATGTTTGAAATAAACACAATTCTGACTTTCCTGTCTACCCAAAAAAAAAAAAACAGGAGAATTTTTTTTTTTATTCAAACAAAAAAATAGAGAAATCTTTAAGATTCCATGGAAAAATGTGGTAGTACTATTGCTCCACATATCTTTGTAAGATTAAGAATGAGAAGCTTTCTAACATGTTTGTTCATGAAGATCAGTCTGTCGATATCTCACTCGTTCAGATTGTGGTTATGTGATGTTGTTGTGTCTAATGTTTGTGGTGCCACATAGACTCTGGATGCATGTACTGTACAGTATCTATTGCAGTTGTCCTTTAATCTTGACTAGTTCTGATTACTTGAAGCATTCATGTGGCTGTTTCATAGTGTAGTTTGCTTTCTATTGGTTTCGAGTTGCAAACTAGGAAGTGGCCACCCGGTTGGAATGAATGCACAGTGGTCTCGGCTGGTGGAATCTACCACCTGCTTAGAGCACTCAGAAACAAAACAGAGTAAATACTTAGCATATTTGATCAATTAAAAAAAGTCCTAATCTTTCTAAAGATTTAAAATCCTGTCATTGCTAACCATGCAATAACACATTCCATCCTCTAGGCTTTGATTTCTAATACTGTGAGTAAAAAGATAAACCATTGTAGGAGAAAAATTATGATTAAAGGTATCTGCCTTTGACTCTGTGTCAGTCATTGCAGAGTATACAAACAGCTCGTCATATACAGTATGTCATAATATCATCTTGTCATGCATTAACAGCTATGTTTGGGTTTAACATGTCTTAGTTTACTGACATGTTGTGCATTACGACAAAACTGTAGAATTAGTTTATATATATTGGTTCTATATTTCTTTCTATCCTTTGTTTATGTTATAAAGTCACTGGAATCCCATGCTTTAAACACAGATAACATGTAGTCTCTATCCCACAAAAGATCAGCTGCTACAGTGTTATTTATTAAAACTATGGACCTTAATCCAATGTCTGTTTGTTAAAGCTACCTTCTATGGGATAGTGATTATCAGTCCATGCTTCTAAACAAGTCAAATAAAGTTCTACATTATAAAACTTAATCTGCTCTGGATCTACTCTCTTAGATCAATTTATTAACAGATAAATCTGCTAAAAGTTAGAAATGTGGTACCCATGTTATCACTTTTATGGTTAGTTATTTTACCTATTGTTTAAGAGTTTATTATTTTCCTATTTTTATTTATTTTATAATTTAACAATAACTTCATTAGCTCCATGCACACACAACAAGTTAGTAAATATAGTGCACCCTTGTATAAACCATAAGATAAAACAAGTCTGTTGAATACATTTTCTTTGAAAATTTTCTATGAATTTGTCAAATTTAGTCATATAAATTTAGTTTTCTGGACAGTAGGAAAATAAAATGACAATTGCTCGAGACTTTTAGACAAAACAAAACAAGACAGTTGACCAGCAACACATATTAGGCCTATTTCAAAGGCCTATTTTCTATGCATTTGTTCTGCAAGCCTACCCCTACAGCTAAGTATTAGCTGCTCTAAATCCCCTGATTTAATAATACATAACATGTTACACGCTAACCTCTGCAGCCCTGCCAGTGTTCAAACTGCAGGTAATTCTATGTCCTCATAGAATTTCACAAATAGCACATTGATATCCTAGCCCCAAAGATAAACTCTGTCACAGGCAGAAAGTCCTCTAATGAGTTTGTTAGTATTACCATGTGAAACATAGACAACATAACAATAACATTAATTATCGATTTTAAATTTCATAAAGTCCAAAAATACAACACCATGTGATTTATTTCAACTACAGTACTCATATATATCCAATAATATTAAATTGTCCAAATCCTATAGAAATAGTCCCCAACAGGTCTTTTAACAAGAAACATTTCTTCCAGGTAAGCAAAAAGGATGAATTGCTTACCTGGGTCTGAAGTGATCTCTGCCGACTGTTCGTTGACGCCACTGTTAGGTGGGGGTTGTTTCTATAGTAGATGAACAATGATGAAATCGTGAAACAGACTGTGGATCATCTTAGATTTATTCAGCCATGGTCAGACAACACAGAAAATCAACACACATGGCTGACAAAGTGCAGACCATCGCTGACCCATGCTGACCCAGATCTCACAATCATTGACAATCATTGGTAAAGTGGCAGAATGGCAAAGTCTTCATCTTCACAGTGTTGCTTATATTCTGCTACAAGGTACAGCCCACAAATTCCTGGCTACTTCGGTTCATCTCTAAAATGCTAGAAAGAAGACATCACACTGACTCTTAAATATCAGACATATACATTTCTTCAGTCTCAGAGTCACATTTCCTTTTCAGCTCACAACAGACACTATCAAGATGAATGAATTCATGAAAATACGTACTAACAATGATGAGGTTGTGTTATATATGTAAATAATGCATGGACTACTGCTCCAAAGGGCACATCAACAGAGTGTATTGAACATTGTTTGGTAAGTTTTGAACTCCTCATGGCCATGAGAAGATTTTCAGAAATCTTAACTTTCCAGTCAACATTTAAGTCACCCTGAGAAGTGAGAAAGGACAACTAACTGAAGCTGTGCAGTGGGTCACACAGTCAGTCTCCCTCTCCTTGATGTGAGGGATTAAGTCTCCAACTCAAGGACAAGTTAGCAAGTAAAGCCACATGGGAGTTCCAGACCTCACCTATAAGGGCATTTTTACTCAGGTGAGTTTATTAAATGGAGACCAGTTAGAAGCATGTAATGTTTTTGTTGCATCTTGAAATCCTCTTATAAATATACTTTTGTCTCTAAAATCCTAATGTCTTCCTAAAGGATTTAGATATTGTCCTTAAAAAGCATTTATAGTATTGTGAAATCAATGGCAGTTCAGGTCAACAAACTGGAGGGTGTACAGTTTTCCTGTCATAGAAGATCAGGTTAAACTCTTTTCTGTAATTAAAACTCTGGATCTTCCATTACACTCAAATGACTCCCTGTGTAACCCCTCAAACAAAGGCAGGTTTACTCTTCAGTGCCCAGGCATTGATTTTTGGAAAGACGCTTGGAAAGACAAAGTCTGAGGACCTCAATGTGTTTGCCTGGCTGGACCTTGAGATGTGAACTTGAAAACACTCCTTTTCTCTCACATAATTGCTCTGCTGATTTGTGATTGGAACGTAGAGCCAGAAGAGAGAGAAGACTGCTAATAAAAGCTCAGCAGGGTGTGTGCAGCTTACTCACTTTTTTCAAAACTGGATGACTGAAAAAAAAAAAAAAGTGTACAATTGTTGAAATTCTTAGCAGGGCTGATGGGGTCACATCAGAGCTCTCAGTGAATCGCAGACTTATTGATGGCTGGCTGGAGAAGAGACCAGTTCCACATGAATGTGAATCTCCAACTAATATTAACTAACCTTTTTTTTTGTTTTATTTTCTGCAGGTATGGAAAGAGGTCCGCCCCTGAGCAGGCAATGGCATGGCTGCTGTTTGGAGGTGATTCAAACCAGGACGCTGAACCGAGGTGAGAGAGCACATGTCTAGTTTGATCACACTGGGTTTCTAATCTTTTTTCAAGCAGAAAACCCACCAAAATAATGAAGAAAACTAGAGCACTAACTGTGCCAACTGAACATCCAGAGAGAACATATCTTGCAAGATTTAAAAGCTTTCATGTGTGTCTGTTGTCACCGAACGAAGTTGTATCTTTGAAGAGAACATTTCTAGTATCTAAAAGGGAAATCTCGTCCTTATTTTTATATTGATTATAGTTACATATTTTGGGAGAAAATGTAGATATTCAATTAAATAACATCAAACTCCATAACAAGGTCTGATACCCAATCATTTGCATAATCTACCATGCAGTTCTGCTCATAATGTTTCCATATATTCTCATATTGTGTTATTGCTGTAAGCCTTTCTACAAAGGGATTACAGTATATTGCTTTTTATGATGCTCATCCAGAGCTCCTTGCTAATATAATTTCCCTCTTCCAAGTGCATATTGATTAACATTTTATCTCGCTGCAGATTCAAACAGTGTATTGATTATGTCATCAACACAATGGTCGAAAAGAGATCTGTCAGAGCTGGCGTCTCATATGACATTTTAAGATATAAGTGTACATTTCCATTTTTTCCATTAACATGCTTTTTTCTCTTATCCTAAAGCTCAGACTACGGCGATCAGTGGTAAATAAGCCCAATGTTTACTCTAACCCAACTGCCATCCTCCAAGATCCTTCACTTCGCTAATCAACAAGACAACCTGTACTGGAAATTGAGACTTTCCATACTTGATTATTTTATGTGCATGCAAACCTCTGATCTGTCTGTGTGTCTTCCCCTCTTAGTAAACCTATTTTTTCTTTGGCCAACAATGTAAATACTTTATATCAAAATCAATCACTTTACAATAAATACTTTGAATGTAATAAAAGTATTAAATATTCAAACTTGATTTGGTATGTTTATTTTATAATAGAATGAATTGACTGCGTTCCCCTCTGCTGCCACTAGATGTCACTATATCACCATCAGGCTTGGTTTAGTGAGTGTCTGTAACTGCTGCTCTTGTCAGGGAGGTTTATATCGACGGTAGCGGACACGCTTCAACTTCAAACCGGGGTACTACATCGAGAGACGCTATTGTCATCACAATAACCCTCCCGGTAATCCTCAGGGAACCCGGATAAGCGCGTAACAGATCGGCCAATTGGCTTTTAATCGATGGAGCTATTTGTGAGAGCAGGCGAGCCGTTTAAGGTGAGGTCTCGTTAAAGATAGCAGCTTGTGTGGGTTGCCGTCGGTGTAGTGAAAGTGCCTGCACAGATTAAAAACCAGACCTGCTGTGCTTCAACAACCAGGAGAAAGACCCGCTGGAGATATCTCACTTAACATCTTTTCTGCTTTCTCACACCGAGAAGACATCCAGATAAAGGTGACCAGATAAAGGTGACCGGACAGGTGAGTGCTTCGACCTTTGGTTGTAGGATATTTAACCACCAGATAAAAATGGTTTTCAGTGTGGTTCGATGAATGACATTAACGGGGTTTCTCAAGAAAAGGCATATCAGAGATAGGCTATAATCCACCTTCGCCTCTCGCCAGGTGGATGTTTATGCACACACACAGTAGTATCATGTTTTTTCTTGTGTTTTTTTAGGTCTCTATGGAGATAAAGTCTAACTGCCCTGATCAATGTCGCTTGACACGCATTTTCTAGTCTTTAATAACGCGTGCCTTCTGACGTCATATCAGCCTCAATCAGTACCCACGAGCATTTTTTAAGATAGCCTAATTAACCTTGGGCTATTTGCACCTGTACGATGTAAACAGCTGAAAACAGCCTAACTCCTTAACACTGTGTGCTGTGGTGTGTATTGAATTTGAGAGAGGGGGAAATAATTCTAAAAAAAACAGTGCACTGTTATGTTAATAACAACTACTGGACAGACGTCATGCACCTGTTCATAGCCAATGCGCATGCGCACAACAGAAAGACGTTTGAGCGCGTGCGGACCAATAGAGGTGCAAAAAAGTGTCTGACGTGCAGGATGTTATGAGGGACAAAAAATGACTAAAGTATAAATAAATAAATGTTGGGAGAAATGCATACAATGATGTATAAATAAATGCATCAATAAATATATAAATAAATATATAAATGCTGAAAACAATACATCAATGAATAAGTAATGAATACACTTATTCATTTTTTAGCATATTTCTACCGTTATATATGTATCAATGCATCATGCTGTAATGCACAAATGCTCCTGTTATATGTCCTGCTCTGTACTTTGTTTCTTATGTCTTACTTTGCTTCCAACGGTGGCCACGAAGTATCACTGTGCCTCAAAGTGAGACTTTTAAAATCCAGCCCAGATCAAAACACAATCACTTAAAGGAGAAATCGGAGGGCCTAATGTGTACATATTGATAGATCATCTGTTTGTACCATCAGTTTAAGCCACGTTCAGCTTAAGCTCATCAATTTGTTAACACAACTATTACCTATTATCTTCTCTGCCTATTGGAAATGTGCTTTGCTTACTTTATGTTTCACTAATCAGGAAGCATTAAACTACAGAACAACCACTTCAGATCTCAACAACAAGCCACTGCAAAGACGGCAATTAGAGGCTTATTTAATTGGTACGAAATCTATTGAGTCACTTTTAACGACTTATTAATATATAAACTAACAGTCTTTATAATGATCTGTTAAAGTGGACATATTATCCCTCTTCGCCTTCTTTTCAAACAGTCCCCTGTGGTCTAAATGAAACATCTGTGCTGTGCTTTGGTCAAAATATAACATGAATCAAGCACCAGAGGAGGTTTGTGACCCTGTATAAACCAGCTCTCTCAGAACGCTCCGTTTTGGTGTGTGTGTCTCTTTAAATGCAATGACCCCCCCCTGAGTTTTCCCAGTAGACATCACTCCTGTTTGTGCATTCATTTGTGTGGTGTCGGACACATCGGAAAAGCGAGTTTCTGAGTTGTAAAAGTCTGAACAACAACTCGGAAACTCGGAAAAGAATTAGGCGCCCGACTTCCAACTATTTTTTTGTGATCTGTGACGTTGATTAGCACTGTGAGTCAGATGTCTGATTCGTAAATTACGTCAATATCGGACCTGATACCCATATAAGATCGGATCGGTCCCATCTCTTGAAAAATCCAACAGTTGGATTTCATATGAAAGATGCACTAACAGTAGATCTAATTCAGGGGCTTTGACTGGATTAGAACAAATTCACTGTGTGTTTTGAAAGAAAATATTTCACAATAAATCTCCCTGCTTTGGACCGTGTTTGGGATGTACTACAAGATCGGCAGGTTCTTTTCTATACCTAAATGGAAACATCATCAATGTTTCAGCAATAAAATGTTTTAAAACTTTAACTTAAAGCTGGTCTGTTAAATAAAAAAAAGTCCTTTACACTTTATTTTATCAGAAAGATTTAAGTACATTTTGTACAAGACATTCAATAGGATCAAATCAGAACAAAAAGCCAGCAGTGTGAATCAGACAACGTGACCCTGACATGCTAAACCTCAGAGTCTTGCACACTTGACATTGAATTCAAACAAATTATTTTATTTTTTTCACACATTCAGAAAAAAAGGAGCTCTTCCTGTTGTGATCCCTGAACTTCACACCAATCTTTTTAAATCAAAAAAATCGGAGGGCATTTAATTCGACATACAAAACACTCTAAGAACACGTCACCATGGCACTGTACAGTTCGGCTGCTTTGACACTCTGAGTTAATTACCTTATCATAGAGTACGTGTGATCAACTGTAGCTGGCAGAGAGAGAGAGAGAGAGAGAGAGAGAAGTATAACCCAGCCACACTTGATTCCACAGTGACATTAATCTGCAGGATCGCATATCGCTCCACCATCTTTTAACCTGTGTGGTGTTAGTGAAATGCTTATTTACTCTGACACCTGCCACCTCTTCCATCCAGGCTCAGATCTCCATTTATAAAGGATGAAGCATTTAAAGGCTTAATATGTGATTTTTCACACTTAAATGTAATATAATTCAAGTCTATCCTCTGAAAATAACTCTGTGAGTCAGGACTGTCTACAATGGGTGTAACACCCGAGTCCGACTGTCTGTGATGTTTTCAGAGTCCTATCTTCAGTTTGTTTACATCGCCGGGACGGCCGGCTGACTCCTCCTCTCGTGTATAAAAGTTGTTTAATTGAGGGACTAGAGAAAAGAAGAATAACATATTGTACTCACTGCTTAACTATGTTTCTAGATCACGCTCATTTCAGGTAAATTTACATGCAGTATGAAGATACGAGCATAATAAAGATCACTAGCATTAGCATGCTAACACATCAATGCAGCGCAAGTTGTTTTGGTTTCATGCTGGTGCTCAAGGGCGACATCTACTGGATCAAAAAATCACATAGAAAGCCTTTAAATGAAAACTACGTTCTATTTTGATAGGGAAATGTGATATTTATATTATGCAATGAAGTTATGTTCAGAAATACATGTTCTGAGGAAAAAGCCTTCTCACTTCGTGTCATGACTTCTGACCCAAAATCAAAATGTTGATGCATTAAGTCAACAATCTCAATACTCTTGTTAGCACAACATGTTGTACAGACATTCTTGGTCACCATAGGATGAATTGTAATCACTTTGATGATACCTAGTCTTCACACAGTGTCAACATCAGGTTGGAAGTTCAGTTATTTCAAATACCTGCAAAACTTGTGATCATCTTTCACTGTAAATTGCATTGATGTAGAAAGCATGTAGAAATTATCATGACATGAAAGGCCACCCAACTTTAGTAGTTTGGAGATTTTTTGGCTATCTACAGTACAACAAAAAACAGAGAAGCGTGCTCTGTAAACTGTGCAAAAGAAATGACAGCTGAGACGGGCAACACCACAAACCTTTTCCACCATTTCAAACAGTGTCAACCGGTTATATCACACTGAAAGCAAGAAATGACCAAACTGATCCTGTAATGCAGTTCAATCATCAGTACAATTTACACTGTACTGTCATCAGAGGAAAGAGCCTTCATTGCTTCCCTGATTTTGTCTTTACACATTATTAGTTAGAATGTGTTAAGATAGACTCCTGGTGTTTGGTGACACTTTTTCTCATCTAATGCCATTTTAATAAAAAACACTCACCGTTATGCAATTCTTGAATCACACGATCGATAACACTCGTATGTCTGATCTCTGTGGCTGCAGTACAACTTAACAAACTTGTTTACATAATTTAGAATCTGGAGTTTGGCAACAACTGTGGGTAATACGCTCATCTAGCTACAGTGACATATGCTTTGGTTATACCATTGTAGCTGCTCCTTAAGAAAAGTGGACATCGTTAATGAAATCCCAGCAGTGGGGTGATTGCATAGGACCCCTGCGGTTGGCTCTCAGTGCTCACCCGAGTTCTTTAGCCTCTCAGTGGTATGTAGGTGACATTTAATTCTTATTACGCTAATTACAGACCCCATCAGCTGAGGGAAAAGAAAGCATCAGATGTTATTTGTTAAAAATGGAAAGCATTGTGTCATAATGCTGTTTTGGAGGAAGAGTTAAAGGAATTAGTTTTTCTATAACAAAGGAGAAGATGAACTTAAAATGTGATTTCTAACCTTGTGAGAATCTCTGATTCAATCATATAATTGTAGTGGCTACGGAGTCCAGAGTCTGTTAAGCCTGGCTCACACTGCAGGATAAAGGGGCCGATTTCAGCTCCGATTCTTCCTTCCCGACAATCTCAGGGTCTCTCCCGACTCCAGGCTGCTCGGACCCGATTATCCGCTCAGATTATCTTGTAGTGTGAGCGGTACAAAGATCCAATTTTAATGTCCCCAATCTGCAAGGCTATCGTCAATTTATTTCAAACATGTTTGATATTTAAAATTTAAAATCTTGACGTTTACGTCATGAAAGGGTTCGGT